ATTCTTTTGAAATCAGTCTTACCTATGTAAATTTTTGCCTTTAGCACTCTGTATTAAATTCAGATCACATTCCCGGGTTTAATTTAAATGTGAAAGCTACTTAATTCAACAAATATTCTAATATTTCCTAATATGAACTACTAAGTCTCAACATGTTATGGTTGTTAAACATTGGTAATATTATTGGTAAGTTTAGGAAAAGAGGGGTAATTCTTAATTCTTTTACAGCAGCTTTCAAAATTTATCTGCATTTCCTAGATAAGTATTTCCAGAGAAGCACAAAAAAAGTTTTTATCTTATTTTCTTTTCCATTTTAGTTTCACTTTTAAGTCATTGGCACTGTTTTAGCTTGGATGTGAAAACCTTAAAAAAAGAAAAACAAGTTTAGACCTTTGTATGTGTGTCGATTTTTTGATATAAAGAAATAATCTGTGGTTTCAAACACTTGTCTTTTAATATGTATTTCTGTATGTGTTGTGTTTGTATTTATTGTAAGTCAGTCCAGACAGCTATGTTCAACTGCAGCTTTCTTTTCTCTTTTCAACACTTCATAATCTTCTGTTTCCTCTTGAATGCTGTTAAGAATTCTGAGAAGAAAAAATTCTTAGAGGCATGTTTACAATTCTTTCATATTGTATACAGAAATTAACTTCTCATTAGCCAAGTACTGGGCAACAATCAGTACTGAAGTATGGTGGGGTTGGTGCAACAGTTAAAGAACACCAGTGCTTTGACCAACTTCAAAGAATGAAACGAGGAAGAAAAATGTGATGCAAGAGTGCCCTGCTAATATAAATATTACCAAAATGGGTGATTTGGGAGTGTAAAACAATCTAGGAAGAGCGAGGCTTTCTGAGGAATGCCTGATTGTGTTAAAAAGTGTGAAACTATAAAACCATCAAGTCTTTAATCAATTGTGTTCCTCCTCTAAAAAAATATTAGCAAAAGAGACTTGGTCAGCTTGGTGTCTTAACTAGAGAGCTAGACAAGCTTAAACTTAGAGTTTAGCTATTTATTCGGCACTATCTTGGAAGGAGAGAAATTATGTTACTGTACTTAGAAAAATACTGCTAAAGAGCATCGACTCCCCTTTGTTTGGTATTTTGATACTGATCTTCTAGTCCCTGGAAAGGATTAAGTTCTGTAAATTAATAAAAATTGTTGTAGTTCATAAAATCATCTAGTAGAGGTGTAATAATTAAGAGCATAAACTCATAGAGTGTGACAGGAAGGGATTTGAAGTTTGGCTCCACTATTTAATAGCTGCCTACCCCTGACCAAGTTTTTAATCTCCTGGTTCTTCAATTTACTCATCTGCAAAATGAGGTTTAATAATAGAACCTATGTCAGAGAGATGCTTTTAGGATTACATAAGGTAAACCAAGTATCTAGCACATACTAAGTGTTCAAAAAATGTTAGCTGGTGGTGGTAGTAGTAATCATAGTCGTAGTCGAAGTTGTAGTAGAAGGAGGAGGGGGGAGTCGTAGTCTGACAAACCTTTGTCAGTTGCTAAAAATTTGATATGATCTAGGTACATTGACAAAACTGAAATTTTGTTTCTGCAAACCTAGGGACTAGACTACAGAATATGGTGACCAGCCTTAGATGGCCACTCCTTAAGACATCTTTGTCTCTTCACTCATTGGCTTCAGTAAGGGAAATTGTCACTTCTTGACCCAATCCACAGAGAGAAAAACATTCTGACATATATAAGAAGCAACAAGTCAGAAAAAGAAATTTTCTTCATGAAAAATAAATCTCCAGGAATCCTAAAATTAAATGCCGAAACCTTAAGGGTTATATGCAAAGGTATTTGCCTGGAGAATGGGGAGATGGGTCTTCATGAGCAATGAGGAAACTGACATTTTTTATACAAAATTTAGTTTGTGAAGCTAATTTGTATAGGATTAGGTACACTATATTTTTTTAAGCAAATGAAATCTATTTCAAAGCCAATGACAAATAGATGCATACACCACAACTCTCAAATAGATAAAATTAAGTTTAGAGTACATATAAAAGAAATGGCTTGAAATTCAGGATAGAAGGAATTTTATTAGACTAGTCTAATCTCTTGTTTTTCAAGTGAGACTAAGACTTGAAATTGCAGAATGGTGAGAGCTGTGGTCCCCAAATCCTGCTACAAGGACTGTCAGTCTGAACTGTGATAAAAATTTCTCCAATCCCAGAAAAATAGGACTATTGCAAACCAATCTTTCTTGGGAAGAACGATTCTTTATTCTGTGAATATATCTTACTTTTTTCCTATTAAAATGCTCCTCCCATCATTTTTTTTTTAAATGAAAGGATGCTAACAGTAATTTGTTTTAAATCTCATGTTTTCTTGATAGAAAAAAGTCTGTCTATCTTCCATTTTTTTCAGATCTAGCTAGTTCCCCAAATCCAAGAGTCTGGAATCTCTAGTAAAGAACAAAACATGAGTTTACCCAATAAAAAAATAAAGGAGAAAAAGTTTGGAAAAGCAAAAACAAAAATACCTATCCTAACTATAAATGCAAATTAAAACAACATACTTTTTTGTCAGGAGTGCAGTGAAATTGGCACTTATACCTACTAATAGGAATGTGAAATAACATATCCGAAGGTCAATTTGGCAATAGATTTTAAAATTATTAAATTGCATGTACAGTAGTCCCCTCTTATCTGCAGTTCCATTTTCTGTGATGTCAGTTACCCATATGGTCGACCACGGCCCAAAAATATTAAATGGAAAATTTCTCTCCTAATTGGCTGCGTGACTTTTCCACTCAGAATTGAATGTTTAGATAAATGTGTAATTGACTTAGCTTTTCAATGGATAGTGGTTACCATAGCTAATACCCTTAGACATAACCTTAAGATGTAAAGGCAAGCAATTTAAATAATTCCTTTAAGGCCATCCTCCTTGTCATTTTTTTCTCATATATAACATATTTTCCCTCTTCCCTCTGTGTCAAAATTTGAATGTCTTTTCCTTTGATTATTCTCCTCTGCTTTACCTTCCCCTCCTGTCTTTTAACTTATGAAGATACAGAATTAAAGTACATTTTAAAGTATACTTGTAATGACTGTAAAGTATTGTAATAGTTATGATTAAAGTGTTGATTCACTGTTTCTACTTTTTAAAATAGATTAATCAAACCTATTGTGTTATTATGAAATTAAATAGCTTGCTATTTGTAATTGGTTTGCCATTGTGCCCACCCGGTACCCCACCTTCTTACCAAGATACCACAGTAATGCTGTGATAACAACTGTTATATTTGAATTTTTTTTCTAACTGCAACAATGCTAGGAAATCTTTCTAGTTTACCTTTAACTTTCTATGTCCAAAGTCCTATACGACTAATCATATTATTTCATAAGACCTAGTTTTCTATATTTCAAGTGTAGTAGTACTAAGAATAGCATGGAATGGATTTTTCATTTCTATAATCTTAATTTTTTGGTCTGAACAAGTCACTCCATCCTCAGTCTTGACTAGAGACCTATGTAAATGCATTCCCCTTTCCAGCCAGATTCTTGCTCCCAAAGCCTTTCTAGAGAGAAATTTTACAGCTATCACAGTACAGTTCTACAACACAAATACACAAAAGCATGATTGTATGAAAATGATAGATTGGAGGGGTGCATACAAAAAAAAAAAAAACCTCTTCCATTTTCAAAGGATTTACTTCACAGTGTTTTAAAAGAATGTGTTTTCTTCAGTTCATTCCAAATGATTTGAACTTTTCAGAAATACATCTTCTAGGTAAATAAAATTATCTTTTTTTCCCCTTTGTCTGACCTAGATGAGAATATCCTAATGCTGCACCTCACAACTAGTAGTTTGTTTGCCTCCACTATAACAGCACCACCTCAGACTGTGGAAGAAGTGACTCCAGGAAGGAGAACAGGAGCTACCCTCATCACAGCCACATCACTCCACTGCAGTTATTTCCCATCTCTAAAGTGGGGAAGCAAATATGTCCCTTATTCTATATAAAAGAGAAAATGATAATGCAGATGACTTAACACCATTTACTTTATGTAAGGAAGAAAATGATAAGGATGACAAGTTCGAAGATGCTTATGAAATTATCCCTGTGGCAACAACGATGAATCTACTATCCTCTCTGGAAGAATGCACAACTGGATTGTATTTATTTCTAAATAACAGATTCTCAGATGCCATAAATCTCATTCATCCATGGTCGAAAAACAGCATATACCATGCCCTCATTTATGGTATCCTTATGGTTGTCAAGGCCATCTTAACTTTTGATCCACAGGATATACAGATTGGAATGACTGCTGCAAAGGAAGCTTTGAAAACCTGTAACAGTTTCCGAAGAAAAGCTAGGATAACAAGTTTTTCTCGTGTGGTGGGTAAACAGGGAATAAAAGCTGTCAAAGAAGAAGAATTGCATGCAGAAATCTGCTATGCTGAGTGTTTGATCTTGAAATCCACTATAACATTTATACAGGAGGAGAATATACTTGGTTTTCTTAAAAGTGGGATCAACATTGGGCTAAGTTACCAAATATATAAAGACTGTCAACAAGTGTTAACACAGATACCTAGCAACCAAAGCAAAACCTACAGACACCTGGTTGGAGGAATAAAATTTGGACTTGGAGCATTCAATTTGATATTATCACTTGTGCCACCAAAGATACTTAAATTACTCAATATTGTTGGATATTATGGTAATAGAGAGGTAGGTTTGGCTTTGCTTTATGAGAGTGCATCTAAATTGCATATAAATAATATCTTAAGTATTTTGACTCTACTCTTTTATTACAATTATATCAATGTAGCTTTTGGTATTGAAAAGGGTCACAATTCTACTATAGAAGATCTCTTCCTGTTCTACCTCCAGAAATTTCCAAAGTGTGTCATACTTAAATTTTTCCATGCACGTTTTAGTATGCTGAAAGGAAATTTTGAAAATGCACAGTTAATATTAGAAGAGTGCATTTTTCTTCAGAATGAATGGAAGCAGAGTCATCACCTCTGTTACTGGGAACTCATGTGGTGCCACATTTTTTTGCAGGATTGGAAGCACGCTTACTACTATGCCGATCTGCTCTCACGAAACAGCAGGTGGTCTAAAGCAATATATTCATACAGTAAAGCTGTACTACTGGCTTTGCTTCCTTCTGGTTTTGCGAAATCAGTAAGTGAGGACATGAACTCTCTCTTCCTAAAAGTAGATAGCTTTAAAATCAAACTGTTAGGAACTTCTGTGCCAGTAGAAAAGTTTGTTGCTGAGAAGGGTCAGCGCTATGGTACTACTACAGGCTGGTTTATAGCACAGCCCATTCTGGAATTCATTTATGCCTGGAGTGGTTTCCGAGTCATGAGCAAAAAACTACACCTTATTTCATGCTGGCTATCAATAATTGACAAAGGAGAAGAATTTTTACAAGAAAATCCAAATAAAGAGTATGCCACAGATGACATAACCTTGCTACATTTACTAAAAGGTCTGTGCCTGAAACACTTAGGCAAATATTCAGCGGCTGAGCAGTACTTTAATCGTGTCATTCAAAAGGAGAAATTGTTAAAGTATGACCACTATTTGGTGCCATATACTTACTATGAACTGGGAATTCTATATTATCTGAAAGGAGATTATGCCAATGCAACAAAAAACCTAGACAACATAAAAAACTACAAAGATTATTCAATGGAAGGTCGATTACAGTTTAGGGCTCACATAGCCCTTGAACACATAGCTAAAGAAAAGTGATTTAGACACAAAGTGTGGTTTTGTTCATTATGAGTGAAGTATCTACAGTCAGCAAGGTAATTGACAGGTAGAAAAATCATTTCTTTGTGGAAGAAATCCAAGAAGGCAGCTGCTAAGACTCTGACCAGTAACATGTAAGAAATGAATTACTTTTCTCCTTCCTTCTCCATACCTATGAAATGGAATGTCTTAGACTGGCAAATGGAGTGATGCACATTATTGAAAAAGGCAAATGATGTACATTGTAAAATATAGTCTCAAATAGTTATGACTTCATCAATCATATTGGAGAACATTTTCAAAAACTCAAAAAATATTTTTTAACATCTCACTAGATAATGTATACAACTGATAAATAAAATAGGAAAGGTAACTATACTAGGAATCCCAATGCCCTGTAAATGTTTTTATTTAATCGTTAAAGAAAAAGACTTTAAAGTCTTTCTGACTTTTCAAAATAATGATGCACTGAATAGCATAGACTCAATGGTTTTGCTCATACACAGTGATTTTTATTGGCTTTTTATACCAGAGAAGATAATTTCCCCTGTGTGTTCAGTAGCATATTTTACCTTTTTTTCATTAGGAAGCTCAAATGTGTGTCTATAATTTGCCACAAGATAGAGAAGAAAGAGCACCCCCACCTCCCCCCCGCACACACATACCCATACCCTTTGAAGATAATTGGAGGAAGCCAAGAGGATAAATGCAGTGGGTAGAAAAAAAAAAGGCAAGACTAGGTAGGCTGTTGGAGGGAGAGTTTAGTAACCCTGTAGCCTTCCCTTAAACTGCCCTCTCAAGTGTAATTCCTATTAAGACCAGCTTTCAGTATAATTAAACCACTTCCATCTATCCTGTTGCCATTGTTAATGGGCTAATCAGAGTAAACGGCAACTGTAGGAATGGGGTTTGGTATTGTTTTCTCCGCCTAAGGGATAAAAATCAGTCACTAGTTTCTAGACTATTAACTGGCTGGATGTATCCTTCTTTCAGTCACCCTTGGAAACAGCAGTCAGGAAAGTTTGCTTTGCCTAAACAAATGAGTAAAACACATCATCATAATGCTTCTGACCTAAGGAAGCAGTATGGATACATTTCTGGAATGTATCTCTGCCTTCCAGATTCAGAGTCTCTGAGAAATACCTCCCACCCTTTTGCGTGTTGACCTTTCTATTCTATGTCTTTTGCTCCCAACCCTCGGTTACAGAATGTCTAAATAGGGTGCAATATAATTAAGTTTTCATCTACTAATATGCAATCCCATTCCAGTCCTGCTTCCAGAAAATACAACTAGGTCCCTTAATTCAGAATTTCGGTCATTCCCACATTCTTTGGTTACCCATATTATAGATGGTCTCTTCGTGCAAATGAATCACAGATTCAATCAAATTCATTTTATTTCACATTTAGGGTGAATGTATAAGAGCTTGGAGGAGGTACCTCACTGTTGCCTCCTTGTGCCATAAACACAGTGCTATTGAAACATTTTTTATTACATGAAGAAATTTTCTTATCTAATTTGGTAAATATAATAACTATTTGGAGGCCCAATATCTTGAAAAAATGAGGAGGAACAGGGGATTATGAATGAAGAAAAAAGAGAATTTCTTTTAAAGACCTAGCATCAAAGTTCTTCTTAGCATGCCCTTGTTCCCATTGATCACTAAATCCTGTTGATTTTTGCTTTGAAAGATTTGTCGAACCCACTGTTCTCTCCCTTTATCATTTCCATTGCTATCAGCTTAGGCTAGGACTTAATTTCTTGTCTGGAACACTGCAACACTGCAATAGATTTTAGGAACTCAGTAGTGAACATCTTTTTTTGTTCCAAGACAATTCCAGGGAAAAATAAAAATGGTTAACCCCACTTTATTTTTTCCAAATCAAAATAAAATCTATTGTAAAATCTATATTCTTATCATTGAGATTGATTACCTCTTTGAATAACAGGACTTCAATAGAAAAAAAAAATGGCACTGATTTTTATCCATAAAGATATCTGGATATGTATGAGAGGCAATGACACAGAAGCAGTTTTCTAAACTTTCACACATTATATTTGTTTAGTGTGTTAGAGTTCACAAAGTCTGTTCAAAGCATTTTCATCCTAAGAAAACAATCCTATCTTCACTCCACTGCTAGGGAACAGGAAGAGGCTGTGAAATCTCTCTGGGCCGGGCTGGGGAAGGCAGATAACCAATCAATTTGGAGATACTGCCTCCCTAAAACTAGATTTCCATTTGGAAAGTATTTCTGGAAAAATTTCCCCCCTAATACCACTGCTTTGTTGAGTAGAGAGGCTACATTTTAAAGTTTCATGCTATATATACTCTATACTTCCATATTTTCCCCACATCCAATTTGTATCCTTTCTAACACACCAACTTAATCATTCATTCCATCATTCTCTTTAGTCTATTTATTCACTCATAAAATGAGTTAATGTTTGAAAGTTCTTAGAATAATGCTTGGCATATATTAGGTGCTATATAACTGATTAAGAAATAATTCAATTCAAATTGGGTACCTACTATATATCAAGCAATGCTCAAGAAGTAGGGTATATGGGAGGAAATAAAACAGATATGACCCCTTCCCTTTGAGGGTTTACAGAACTTACTAAGTGAAAATTTAGTGTGTGTCTTAGTCATGAAAATTTAGAGCTGACGTTATCTTGGGTCATCTAATCCCACATTTTCACTGATAGAATAAGAAAACCGAAATTTAAGAAGGCAAATGACTTCCAAAGTCATAAAGCTGGTAGGAGCAGTCAGTGGTGTGCAGGAACCATGTTATACTAGCTCAAGAGAGCCCATTGTTAAATATACATAAATTTTTAGAGCCAGTTGTTAAATTATTGGTACCTTTAAATCATCCAGGGTAGGAATATTTATACCATAGAAATCAGCAAATAGTATAAATCAAGTTTTCTCTTTTCAGGAAAACCGGTTTACCCGGACACCAGATTTAACCGAATTGAAACCTAGGTTGCTATAACTCGCTGCCCACTGGTTTCACTCTGACCCGCACCTTCTTTGACAATGTTCTGTATCCCACACAGAATTTTTTGAGGGTGGTTCACATTGCCTATAAATCAATTCAAGACCTACCTCTTTAAAAGCTTTCTAAGAATGCTTTCCCCAACCCTTCCCATTTACTACTACCGCCAAGTAGAATGATAGCTTACTTGTTTCCAAGTACAAGGAGACGTTATCAATTACCCAAAGACAAGACATTTTTTAAATCGTTTTGAATTCCTAGTTTCTAATAGAAAGTGTAGCATGTACAAGTATGCAATATTTGCTTGATGAATAAACATGGATATAAAAAATGGATGCTTATATTCAGTTCTATTTGTTAAATAAATGAAAAAGCCAGAACATTAAAAAAAAATCTTAGGTCTATGGCCATGCTACCCTGAACAAACCCAATTCTGTCTGATCTTGGAAGCTAAGCAGGGTCAGGCCTGGTTAGTACTTGGATGGGAGACCACCTAGGAAGACTAGGTGCTGTAGGCGTAAAAAATAAAAAAATAAGGGATTGTAAGCTGACCAAGGTCCTTGCAATCTGTGAGGTCAACTAAGGGTCGCCTTGTCTTAAAAAAAAAAAAATCTTAGACCAAAATGACTGGAGTTATTTTTTTCTGACCTTACCTTGTATAAAAAAAAAACCAAAACAGTAAATTACCACCACCCCCACTTCATTTTTTTATCTACTGTTAAGACATAACACAGTGAATTAAAATTTTTGATAGTTTAGCCAGGGCAGACCGGGTTTAGTTTTGTACCATGATGAAGAAAGGTGAACATTATAAGACTTTTGACAGTTTTTAAACTTATGATTTTCTTCAGATCATTTAAGAAAATTTTCTTTAAAAAAAAATTCTTACTAAAATGTAACTAACTAAATGTACTCCAAAATATAAAATAAGCAATTTTTGGTATTGGCAGAGGAAGGGGTTAAAATTGTGTGTGTAAAGGTCTGAGGGGGTGGCAGACTTTAGGAAGTAGATGGAGAGGTACTGGGGAGACAGAAAAGTAGAGACTGTGAGAGAAAGGACACCAACTGGTGTGAGGCATCCACAGGGGTCCAAGGGTATGGGGTTGACCAACAAAAGCAAGTGGCACTATTTCCGCTTGGTAAGGACCGGCTACAGGAGAGGGCCTTTCTGAGAACTTGTATTAGGGAATGAGCGGGGCTCAGTCTATTAGAAGTAAGTGATTCTCATCAGTAGATGCTGGAAATAAGCCTTTAGCTTAGAAGACTAAAAGGAGAGGGGAAAGAAGGGAGGGAAATTGCCTTTTTCATCAATTAAGTTAAACTTGAGGCTAGCTTCTACTTGTAGACTATGCGCGCACGCGCACATACACACACAAAGGCCAAAGTCTTATTGTGAAGTATAGATAGAAGGCTTAACATGCAAATAACTAGTTGGTTGCAAAATGGTTGTAGCTCTTTTGAACTGGATTTTTATGAGGTCAACGGTTTCCCTTCACTCGGGTATTTATATTAGGTCTTCGTAGATTTACAGAGACCTTTTACTGGCAAAATCTAATTTAATCTGATAAAGCCACATTAATATAATCAGCCAATCATTCAATGAGTGAAGGTTGTGGGAAAGATTATTTGAAATGATGACAATAATAAACAATATAGTACTTCGAGGATTATATGGAACTTAAATCTCAAGTAGTAAGGGAAAAGCTGGTTAATTTTCGATGTTTTCTACATCGTGGTTTGATAGTTCGCTAATTCAGTTTTTCTAAAGCATTCTTGGTGTTCACATTTGCGGGAACTCAACAATTACCAGCTTGTACCATTTTTTAGGATGACAGTCAAAAAAAATTCTGGACCACGCCAGGAGCCCAGTAAGTACGCGAACAGAATTCTGTGCTGGAAGCGAGTCTTTTGCACTTTTCCATTTGGGGTGGGGTCGTTTATAGTCTTTGGCTAGATGGAGTTCAACCCAACCTTGTGCTTTTCTTTCTAGCTTCTGCACCTCCTGCAGGGGTGTACCAAGGGCACAGCCCAAAGGAGCAGGCATCTTAATTGCCTTACACAAGCCAAACAAGAAATGCTTGGCTCTGTCGCTCTTCTCCAAGGCACTTTCACTTCAAACTTCCAGGGCTTTAGGATTTACCTAGAGGGTTCACGTGCTTTGAATCCATGGCAAAAGTGGAATTCCATTTCGACCTTCAACGAGGAGCTGACACGAGCATTTTCCTCTTAAAAAGTTATTTTAAAATGTCCATTGTGGCAGTGAAGAGGGGTGGCTCTAGTGAACAATCAGGCTTATTTCTATTATTACACAAAAATGTCAACCCCTGCCAGCACCCTGCACCCCGCCTTTAACACTCCAGGTCCCGCGACTCTCAGACCTCCCGGTTTGACTGAGGTCAATGACTACAAAACAAGAATTCTGGGAGAAGGAAGTGATGACATGGCGCAAAGCATGCTGGACCGAGGTGGGCTCCGCCCCAGAGACTCCTTCCTCACAACGTGGTTGCGGAGTGCGGGTCGCTGCTAGGAGTTTTAACTGGTATTTTTTTTTCGTTTGTCAGGATTAAGCGTTAAGTACCACTTGGTCTGAGCACGGCTCTAAGTATCATGCAGCTGCAGGCTAGGCCAGGAAATCTGAGCTCTCGAGCCACAGTTGCTGCATCTTCGTTTATGCATCTTCAAAACAAACATTAAGAGGAAACCGTCACAAATCTGGGGCCTCTCCCTAGCGGCATCCAGGGGAGACGTGGAGCCAAAGAGCGGGTGGGTGACTAGCAGAGTTTTCATTTTCAGTTTTGGCTAAAAGTGTTGTAGAATGAGCTCCTTTGATCCAAGGAGTGTGGGGTTAAAGAGTTTTATGCATCTGCAGAGTTCAAAGCCAGCGAGAAGGCGATCTGGAATGGGATTGGGGTGGAATAGAAGTGTGCCAGATGAGTTATCCCAGAATGGGCCCCGCGGCGACGTGGTGTCCCCTTAGCTTTCAGGCTGAATAGTAAATACTGTATTAACTATTTTCCTGATATGGAACTTGGGGCAAATCACAGATGTTCTTTACTTCTAGGATAGAGATTAGGGCTAAGACGTTTGCTTGGGTGGAACGTCTATATTAACCGAACCGGTGGTTGTTTTAGATCTAGCCAGCTGGCCGCCATGAATGAATGGATGAAGAAAGGCCCCTTAGAATGGAAAAATTACACTTACAAAGAAGTCAGAGTGACAGCGAGTGAGAAGGAGTATAAAGGATGGGTTTTAACCACAGACCCAGTCTCTGCCAAGTGAGTAATGGGTCCTGCTTCCCAGAAATCATGACATACCTTTGTGCTACCTCTATGTTATACCCAAACTCAGAAAACAGATAATGAAAGGCTAATTATTCCCATGTAAGAATTGTATTGCCTTTGAATCTAACTGCAGCTCAAACTATGGATAACCTGGTCAAACCAGCCACGTTTGTATAAATGAGACACTTAATGACATTTTTATTGGAAAATTTCAAAATACACAAACGTAAAGAGAATGGCATAACAAACATCATCCTTATCCTGCCTTCCACGTATTTTAAAGCCAATTACAGACATATAATTTTGTTTATAAATACTTCAGTATCTTTTAGTAGATATGGCCTCTTTAATAAATGTAAACAATATAATATGTAACAAAAGTAATAATTTTAATATTAGCTAAATCCTAGTCTGAGTTCAGATTTGCCTGATGGTCTCAAATTATCTTTTTATATTGGTTTATTATTTTTTTTGATCTGTCTCTTAAGTATCTTAATCTATAACTCTGAATTTTCTCTTTAGCGTTCCATGTCACTTATTTGTTGAAGAAATGGAGTCATTTGTCTTATAGAATCGAACACAATCTGGATTTAGCTTATTGTATTATCATGGTGTAGTTTATAACATGTATTTCCAATAAACTGGTACTCATATATCTAGAGGTTTGATTAGGATCAGATTTATACAAGACTACTTTAAAGGTGGTGGTACACATACAGAAACACTTCTATTTTGAAATGGTTTTAGTTTTTCAGAAAATTTGTAAAAAAAAGTAGAGTACCCATATAACCAGCTTCCCCTAATGCTAGCATCCTACATAACCATGACACATTTGTCAAAACGAAATATTTATATTAACTGTAATCATTTGGATTTTACCAGTTTTTCCACTAATGGTCTATTTTTCTTCCTGGATCCAATCTAGGATCCCACATTACATTTAATCATCATGTCTCCTTAGTCTCCTCCAATCTATGACAGTTTTTCAGTCTTTCCTTGTTTTTCATGACCTTGACACTTTTGAAGAGTACTGGGGAGGTATTCTGTAGAATGTCTCTCAGTTTGGGTTTTTGATGTTTTCTCATTAACAGACTGGGTTTTTGGGAAGAGGACCACAGAAGTGAAATTATCGTTACATCACATTGCATATCATATATCATTTTTCATATCGTATTTAGGATTTTTGCATTTGTATTCATGAATTAGCTTGTCGTTTTATTTTTAATCCTGTCCTCTGCTTTTGGTATCAAGGTTATATTAACTTCATTAAATTAGTTAAGGCATAAGTTCCTTTTTATAGTCTCTAGAAGAATTTGGTTAGATTAGAAATGTTTGATTCTTGAAAATTTTATAGAACTTGTTTAAGTTGTCTGAGCCTTTTTCCCCCCTTTGTGGGAAGTTCATAAACTCGTTATTCGTTATTTCAAGATTATAGGACTATTTATATTCTGTTTTTTGAGTTAGAAATTTATATTTTCTAGGAAGTTTTCAGTTTTAAGTTCAAAATTATTGGCATAAATTCATTAATATTTTATGTTGTTGGATCTTTTCTGCCTTATTCCTAATATTGTTTCTCTTGTTATTAATCTTGCTGAGTTTTATAAATTTTATATTTTTTTTTCAAAGACTCAATTTTTGGCTTTGATGATCCTCTTATTGACTCTTGTTTTCTATTTTATTAATTTTGTTCTTATTTTCTTTGGTCCACTTTTTTTTAAGAGGAGTTATTCAGTTGTTTTTTTAACTCTAAAAGTTAAATCTGTATGTTGTCTTTTCAGTACACATTTAAGGCATTTATAACTCTAATGCTTTAACTGCATCTCACAATGATTAGCTTTAGGCTGAACAAAAATTTTGGATGTGTAGGAACCTCAATGAATGCTTACTGCATGAATGACAACATTAGGTGGTGATAGGATTAATTTTAAACAGGGAAGAGCATTCCCTATTATTCCAGTGACCTGTCAGGGTTGATGATGCCTCTCATTCCATTGCTTCTTCCATAGTTTTATGGGCCTTTAGGTTTTTCTTTTGCAAATCTGCTCTGAACTTACTTTTCCTCCAAAGTATCGTCCTCGTGAACTTCCTTGAAGATGGAAGCATGTCTGTGACCGGAATTATGGGACATGCTGTGCAGACTGTTGAAACTGTGAATGAAGGGAACCACAGGGTACGAGAGAAGCTGATGCATTTGTTCACATCTGGAGACTGCGAGGCATACAGCGCTGAGGATCTGGAAGAGAGAAAGAACAGCCTGAAGAAATGGCTTGAGAAAAACCACATCCCCATCACTGAACAAGGAGATTCACAAAGGACTCTGTGTGTGGCTGGGGTCTTAACTATAGACCCACCATATGGTCCAGAAAATTGCAGCAGTTCTAATGAGATTATTCTGTCCCGTGTTCAGGATCTTATTCAAGGACATCTTGCAGCTTCCCAATGAGAGGCCAAGAATAATGGATGCACTGAAATGAGACTTCATTTTTTTGTTTTGTTTTTGTTTTGAATGTCAAGTCCATCATATAGGTCTTTTAAGGCACACAAGTATGTGTGTGTAAATTTTAATTCTTTGTTTTGGTAAAATCAGAGATGTGGATTATGAGTGCTAATAAGTGAATTGGGGCAAGAATAGCATCACATGCAACAAAATTAGCAGAGGGACATCATAACTATAAAAGTCTTTTCTTTGATGGGGCCACACCTCCATTTTTGTTAGGCAAGAAATGTTTTTGGAAAAAATGTAAGATGTTAAATTCAATATAAAATGTTAAGTCCTGTGTGTGTCTGTTTTAAAATATTTATTTATTTATCTATTTTTTGGTATAATGATGAAATAGTTTTTGAATCAGAATATTTGCTTTTTTGTTTGAAACTTGGAAGTTTTGACTTGGTAAAATCTTAACATGTAAGCCTTGTAACTCTCAAAGCCTTTAAAGTGAGCACCAGCTTATATTTGAAGAAAAAGGTAAATGTGACAGATATTCTGCTGCTGAACTCAACCCCAATTCCTTTTCCTAGTGGAGTCAGCCCAGGTGTCAGGCTCATGGTGCTTTCTGCTCTTAGTCTTCACTGAGGGGTTGGGCCTCACTGAGGAGAGAGAATACAAAGTGTGTTTCACTCCACCTGACCCTTGGAAGTGAGTCAGGGGCCAGGACTCAATACAGAGCTTTCTGGCCTAGAAAGGCATCTCAGATTATTAGTTGGAGGGTGGGGGTTCTTTTCAGGGGCATATCTAGAATGACCCTAACATTCCCATATTAGAACTCTATGAGTCCCTGACTCCCTAGGAAAGGGATCAGCAAAATATGGGCCCTTGGGACAAATCTAGCCTGCTGCCTCCATTTGTTCAAGTTTTACTGGAACACAGCCATCTCCACTAGTTTACATTTTATCTTTGGCTGCTTCTGAGCCATAACGGCAGAGTTGAGTATTGTGATGGAAACTGTCTGGCTTATATTTAAGAAAAATATGGCCCTTCCCTCACAACTTTAACATTCCATGATCCTATAAGTGAAATTTAATGCACAGCCTTTCTCTTTGTGACTAAGACTCTCCCACTCAAACCCTGGAATGTCTTCGGAAAGCAAATAGGGGAAGGGGAATAAGAACAAATTAAATTTTGCTTGGAAAAAATTCTGAGAAAATGAGGCCTTGGGAAGAGATCAGCCATGTAGTAAATTATCCACAGCATCATTCAGGGTTAGTCCTTGGCCTAGTGACAGGTGCATTGGTGTTGGTAGATTTATTTGCTGTCCAACTAATGAGCTGAGGACAGACACTGTTTCTTGGCAACTGAGTCCTCTCTGATAGTTTAAACAATTTACCTGAGTGCTGAAGAGGGTAAATGATCTGGCTGTGCCAAGGAAAACTACCTGCTTTAGGTAGAGTTGCCCCAGCCAATTCCTCAGCTAAGATTCTCCCCCAGGAGTTTAACTCACTGGTTTCAGATCCCTTCTGTGGTTCCAGATGCCCAGAGGGAGATTCCTTCTCAAAGCTGGCTCTGTGCACTGCCAGCTGGAGGCACTGCCAGCTGGAGGCGGCAGCCAGGGCAGTCTTTGAACACGTTGGGTATCAAGAATACTTTTCAAAACAAAGGTGGTTACGACATTCATTGAGTAGTTTTTGATCCCCGTGGAGCAGTCTCCAGCCTTTGCATTGATTTCTTGCTATCTCATTGTTCAACTGATTTCCTAAATCTCTCCACTTTCTCCTAAAGATGTTATGGCTGAAATAGGTTTTTCCATGAATTAAGTTTCTAAAAAAATTATTAGTGAAAAATTAAAAAAACATTCACAATCATTTTATTTGATGAGAACTGATGGAAATTTCAAGATGCTTTTTGAAAGTACATTCTAGAATGCTCACATCAGGGGAAAAGATTACTTTAATTCATAATTAAATTTTGGGAGTAATCAGAGTAGTGAAGGACTATAATGACATATACTTAATTGCTTCTACTGCCAAATACTACTGCCAATTGATTTTTTAAAAACCACTTATTGAGGTATTAACATACAAAAGGCTGCACATATTTAATGTATACGACTTGAGTTTGGAGGTAAGTATACATCTGTGAAACCATCACTACATATGCCATGAACATATTCATCACCTCCGAAAGTCTTCTCCTGCCTTTATTATTATACAATTGGTTTTTATTCTTCAAACAATATTACATTAAAGTACTTTTATTAAAAAATTATTCTAGTACCTATACATGCTTTTTACTTTTGTATATTTCTTTAATCCTTTAATTTTTTTTTACATATTTGTAATCTATATAGTTTTAAATTTTTATTTCTGTAGTTCTCATAATTTAAATATTTAGGAAAATATCCTATTGTGTTGATGAACTACAACTTATTAAAACAGTTCCCTAAATTTTGACATTTGTTCTTCCTTTTTGCTATCATAGATTGTTACAAAGAATATCTTCAGGAATACATCTTTATTGCTGTTAATCAGACTATTTAAATACCTAGAAATGAAAGTACTGTCAGTATGAACACGTGTAGGTTTTTCCTTGTATTTTTAAATGGTTTGTGCTGCTTTACTTTGACAAGAGCAATAAATATATATACAAATTTCATCAGACACTTAGAGTATTAACAATTTATTTTTGCTAGTGAACAAAATGGTGTTTTAAAGTTGTTTAATCTCTATTTCTTTATCAATAGGCATTTCTCCATGTGTTTATTTCCAGTATGGGAACTGTTTGATTCGTATCTTTTTAAAAAATCTTAAATTTTCAAGAAATTATTTTTTCTCATTATCTTGTTATATCTGTTTCTTTGTTTCTAATTTTTAGTCAAATGGATCTATATGTTAATAGACACTGTCATTATAGCATACTGCTTTTCTACTGCTTTTAACTTTTGACATGTTATATATACAGAAAATTTGCAAGAACAGAACAGATAATTCCCATATATTCTTCCTCCAGCAAATATTAACATTTTACCACATTTGCATTTTCTGTGTATATCAGTGTGTGTTCATTTTTTTCCCTGAACTGTTTGAGAGTAAATCATGGACACAATGAAAAAATTAGTACATTCTCTCAAATGACCATAGTACAGTCATCAAAATAAGGAAATTAATGTTGATACAGTACTGTGATTTAATACAGACCTTATTCAAATTTCACCTATTATCTCAATGTCCTTTACAGCAAAAAAAAAAAATTTTTTTCTTGGCTCATAAATTGCATTCAATTGTCATGTCCCTTTAGTTTCCTTTAATCTGGACTAGTTCCTCAGTCTTTCTTTGACTTATATAACATCACATTTTTGAATACAGGAAAGTTATTTTGTGGAATAACCTTCAATTTGGGTTTGTCTGATTTTTTTTTTTACAATTCAATTCAGTATGCATTTTTGGGGTAGGAACACCCTGGAAATGACAGTGTATTCTTTTCAGTACGTCATATCAGGAGGCACATGATGTTAATTTGTCCCATTTCTGGTGATGTAAACTGTGATCACTTGGTTAAGGTGGTGTCTGTCAGGTTTCTCCACTGTAAAGTTGCTATTTTTCTTTTTGCAATTAAAGATATCTTCATACATATTTTTAAAAAGAGCTTTACTGAGGTGTTATTAACATCATAAAATTCTCATTCAGTGATTTTTAGTAAATTTAGAGTTGTGCAGCCTTCATCACAATCCATTTGAAATATTTCCATCATCCCACAAGATCCTTTATCGCATTTGCAGTCAATTCCCATTCCTACCCTCAGGCCCAGGCAACCATTAATCCACTTCCTGTATCTATAGATTTGAATTTTCCGTACATTTCATATAAATGGAATCATACAATATGTGGTCTTTGTGTCTGGCTTCTTTTACTTAGCATGTTTTTAAAGTTCATCCATGTTGTAGCATGTATCAGTGGTTCCTTTTTATTACTGAATAATACCCTATTATGAATATACTACATTTTGTTTATTCATTCATCAGTTGGATATTTGGATTGTTTCCAGTTTTTGGCTATTATGAATAATGCTGCTGTGAACATTTGTGACAAGTCTTTGTGCGGACATATACTTTCGTCTCTTAGGTGAAAAACCTAGGAGTGGAATTGTCAAATCATGACAAATTTGTTTAACTTTTTAAGAAACTAGAAAACTATTTTCCAATATGGCTGCACCAGTTTACATTCCATCAGCAATATATGAGGGTTTTGATTTCTCTGCATCCTTACCAGCACTCGTTATTGTGTGGTTCCAGAGGTTATGAAGTGGTATCTCATCTTGGTTTTAATTTGCATTTCTGTAATGAGTAATGATGTTGTGCATTTTTTATATGCTTGTTGAGTCATTTGTATATATCTTTAATGAAATGTTTACTCAAAGACTGCACATTTTAAAAATTGAGTCTTCTTCAGTTATAAGAATTCTTTATGTATTCTATTTACAAGTGCTTTGATATGATTTGCAAATATTTTCTCCCAGTCTGTTGTCTTATATTTTCTTAATGATGTTTTTGAACTGCATAAGTTTAAAAAATGATTAATTGTAATTTAACAAAAAAATTCTTTTATGGATAATGTTTTGTTTTAGCTAAGAACTCATTTCCTAACCCAAGGTCACAAAGATTTTCTATTTTAAAAGTTTTAATTAGCTCTTAAACTTAGGTTTATGTTCCACTTTGAGTTAATTTTTGCGTGTGGTATGGGTTAGGGGTCTAAATTCATTTTTTTGTATGAGGATATCCACTTATCTCAGTACTATTTGAAAAGACTTTTCTTTCTTCATTGAATGCCTTGGCACTTTTGTTGAAAATCAGTTGATCATAAGTTTTAGGAATTTATTCCTGGGCTTACAGTTGTGTTCTATTAATCTATATGTCTATCCTTATGTTAGTAACATATTGTATTAATTACTATAGCTTTACAGTAAAATTTAATATTTATACATATAAGCCCTCTAACTTTTTTTCTTATAAAAGATTGTTTGACAACTCTGGCTCCTCTGCATTTCCATATAAATTTTGGACGAGGCGGACAATTTCTGGGAAAAAAAAAAAGCCTATGAGATTTTGATAGGGTTTGTGTTGAATGTATAGATCAACTTGAGGAGAGCTGTCATCTTAATGTATATAGAAATAGTTGGTTTTTTATATTGATCTTGTATCCCATAGCCTTGCTGAATTCATTTTTCATATACTCACATTTGAGTTTTTTTTTCTTTTACTTAACATTAACTGAATACATTTTGAAGAAGGAGAAGGCCATAAATTTATTCTCTACAGCTTCTTCTTTGGTAATGTGCAGAAGATGCTCACA